CTTTCTATATTTTTTTGTTTATCTTCTGTATTTTGGACATGACATTTATCATAAGCCTCCTTTTTCTGTTTTATTTTAATTTTATTTTATTTTAATCCGGGAAGGTTTGGATGCCCAGTGTTTCCCCTTTGTGGGAATGTATTTGTTCTGTCCTCGAACTATCTCCTCCTTGAAGGCTTCCCATTTCTCCTTTCTGTCCTCGCAGGAAAGGAGTGACTCCTAGTGTGGATTCTGCACCCGGGAATGGTGCTGTCCATGTATGCTTTACTGAAGAACAACCCAGCATAGGAACTCCAGGAAGCCCTTGCTCTTAAGTGTAGCTGTTTCATTCAATGTTTCTGTTAGTACTCCTCTCCACTTGTGCAGCTCAAATAAACCTCTTGTATCCATCGAACCAACATGACACCAAAATCAGTCAGCGAGATAAAGTGCATCTTCATGGCATGTGGCAATAAGGTAGCCTTTTATTCCTTTTATCATTCACCAGCTTGAGGACTGTTCGGTGATGGAGGGGGAAATAGCCATTACAATCCGGATAACAATGAGCCCTGTTTTTTGGCTTCTCAGGGCATGATGTGCAGGGCCTGAACAATAATCCAGTTAGTTCATTTTTCTTACATTAACTGCATCAATACAAATTTAAAATCCACTTTGACCTGACAGAAATACAACACTTGGGCTACAAATGTATTCAAGACAGAAAGTGGCACAAGAATGATGGATCACAAGTTGAACTGAAAAGTTGCTGTTTTCTTATCTATTGCATCTCTGCTTTTTGATTTTTAATGGAGTCAGTCAAGTGTCTGACACATTTAGAAACCCATCACCATGCTTAAGGTATCCAAACCAAACTGAGAATTCGATGCATCCCATCAACACAAGGAAATTCCAGAGATAGATCGTTGGAATGGAATTCTCACTCTCTCGCTGGATTATATGTCTCCTGCTTACCTAATTCCAGAAAATATGAGGTGCAGGATGGCAAGAGCCAAAGCTTGGGGACCCCAGAGTGTCCGTTGGAGTACTGTTGGGAGTCTAACCAGCTAATACTGCATAGCTTGCCATTGATATCACTGTCTGGCAAGCTTTTCCATTGCTTGTCCAGTTCGGACTACCCTACCCATTAGGGCTTTGGCTTGCGTGGTTAACAGGAGCTGAGTGGGATGATTCCCAGCTCTCAGTTACTGGTCTGCCCTTCTGTGTCCTGCTGATGAGACAGCCTGGCTGTGCTGTCATTAGTAGGGTCTGGCTCCAAGTTGGCTTGATTTCAGCACTCCAATGCCAAACATATCCCCTTGGAGCCAGTTCACCCTGCTTACCTTCTCCCCCACACCCCCCACCACGGAGAATAGATGCTAGTTGGCCATTTGACATCTGAAAAGCATGGGTTTGAGCCGTCACTCGGTGGATGCTGAAACATCCAATCTCACAGCATCTTTGACATTCACAATTATCAGGAGCACCTATAAATCACTAAAGTACCATACAATGCTGACAGTGGCAGGGTTTATTGAAGGATGATCACATGTCGGGGAAACGTGGAGGTGGACAGGATTGTGGACGTTATACATGAGGTGGAGAGTGGTCCTAATGTAACCTGATCATTTCATGAAACTGGCCAGGACACTGGGATTAACCATCTGAACCATTCATTGAGATTCATCCAGTTCTGGGATTGTGCTATTACATATTGCATGAACCACTTGATCCCTTCAATTATATTTAACTCATTCCCAAGGAACTATCTATGTAAACTGTTAATGAACAGTTTGAGGATATTGACACTGGATATTAATAATTAATAAGATCCACACAGCTGTCAAGAGGATTAAATAAGTTTTAAATTGGAAGCCTGTACCCTTGCCCTGTCCAAGAGGTACAGATATTTCTAATTAAATACTAACCAGTTTCCTTCTTGTATTTGTAAGATGCGATCCAGAACAAGTCTTTTTTTAAAAATATCCCCTGAAGGTGGAGAAAGGAAATGTTAATTCTGCTTTTGAAATAAATCCAGATACTCAAAGGTAAATTGTATCCTTTTATTTATAAATCACTATGTTGCCTTACAGTTAATGCTAAGTTAGACAATTTGTGCAAGACCTCAAATTATGCCACAGTTGTGTGCAACCCATCACAGAAAGGATTTAAAAAGCACTAGGAACGGTGCAACTAGGATATTATATTATATCAGCGCCTTGGGACGTCCTCCTGACGCGAAAGGCGCTCTATAAATGGAATCTTGTTGTTGTTGTACGTGCTCTGTGATGTACAATGACACATCGCCACGGTCAGCCAGCTCGGCCACCAGTTGTAATTCCAAAATATTACTAGGGATACAGGATGTTAATTATAAAGAGAAGCTCAAGAGATGGGGCTTTTTTCACTAGAACTAAGTTGAGAGGTGGTTATTCTTCAGGGGGTGGGGGGGCAGAGAGGAAAGCAGGGTCTCACTGGAGTTAAGGTGGCTCTTGACTGGAAAGTCAAGAGGAATGTTGTAAATAAGTCAATCCTCTGTAGTAGTCTGCCGTCTGGTTTCTGCTCAGATGTTAGCTTTACTCAGTTGGCAACAGTTTTGCCTTTGGGTCAAAAGGTTGAAACTCATTGAGACTTGATTTCAGTCTCGGGTGACGCCTCAGCACAGTGCAGCTTTCTTGATGTGAGAAGTTAAAAGAGTCTGGTCTGCCTGTTATTCAGGTGAAAAGTAAAAGATCCTGTGACACTATTTAAATAGAGAAGGGAATTTCATATTATTTGGTTGTTCATCTCATGACTGTTTGGAGATGCTTTGAGACATCCTCCTGATGTGAAAAGCACTATAAAATGTAAATTGTATTACTTGAGGTACTTTGCTGTGCACAAAGTGTTTGTTTACAAAATACTCTCTGCATGTGGCAGTGAACCTGTAAAGCACTTTGGACATACTTCAACGCTTTGGGCACCATAAAAATGTTGGGTTTTTCTGAAGATTCTGAGGGCACAGGATTCTCTTGTAATGTCTCCCCCTCCCCCACCCATGTCCTATTTCCCAAATGTGTATGACCTTTTCCTGCCTGACGTGAGTTGCAACTCTGCAATTGGATCCTTGACGCTGAAGTTCAGCTGGGATGTTGGTTGGTTGTTTGTTCTTCATGGAAACACAGTATCTGGCAGACCGCCACACACTGAGTCATATTTTCCTGCTCCTCTCAGGCTGCTTGTGGGCCTTTCACGGATGACAATTGGAAAGACAATCTCACCTTTATCATCAATTAACTCACACTGTGGGCTCTGTTTGCATTTATCTACTCCCGTCTACTGGAATAGATGGCCTTGGAAGTGTAAAGCTGCTTCGGGAAATTCAGTGTTTTGACTGATTTGGTTGATAGATCACAGGGAAGTTTGAAGACCCAATGTTTCAGCAGAGTGAAATCAAGGAGTTAAAAGTATCTGAATAGTGCTCAGCACTCACTCAATCCAGTCATTTTCTTTTTGCTGCCCCAAACTAATGTGAATTCATTTATCTCACAATGATTTTATAAACTAACGTGGCAGCAATCTCCTACCCTGGAATTTTACCTCATGGGTTACCTTTGTCAGATAGATTATGTAATTTTTGTTTACATGTTTCATACTGAGATCTAATTTGTAGATTTAATTTGTCTTAATTTCTTAAGAAATCTATAACTATCAAATTTCTTGAAATTTGAATGCATTATCAAATACATAAATATTATTCAATGCACTCCAGCATATTTGTTTGAAAAAAATCAATAATTGCACTTTTCTTATTAACAAATGCCACAAACCTCATTGTCGTCTCAGTTACTCTACTGAAACATAGTGAAGGCTTTGACACTAGAATGAAATCAAAATTTATTGAAACTTAAAAGTTGCTGAAACCGTTCATCAAATGAGACTATTTTGTTTTCAAGCAAATTGAATAAGTACAGGGATTGACAACAACAAAATTACATCTGTATAGCACAACTGCAACAATTGAGAATGTTGCTTTGGGAAATCAGGTGAGAAAATGTTTTTTCTCTAATTAAAAAATTGCTTCAAACATGGCACTCAGCTTTGGGTAAAAAATGGTTCATGAATATTCAGACAGATCAACATTAAATATAGTAAGCTCCTAATAAGTTGACTCTTATCTTGTCATCATTACTTATATCCCAGTATAAAATTCCTGCCTTTGGTGATGTTCCAACAACATTCAATGGGTCTTTTTTTTTAAGGATCCTGAAATGCTAAGGCTATTTTATTCTTCTAAAGGAAGTTCAACAGGCACCACTCGTCAACAGGGTGACTTGCAATCTAAATCGTACCTGAATTAATGTGGCTTTTATTTTGTATGAATATTTGTTTTGAAATGTATTAAGTGAATTAATAAATTATCAACCTAGCTCAGGTTGCAACACTCTCACCTCTAACAAAGATTTAAAATGAATGTATTGCACAGAATCAGGCGACTAGGCCCAACCAAACAGTCTATAATCCATATGAGTCTCCACCTATTCCTTGTTTCCCACACCCTTCTATTTCCCTCCCTCACGTGAAGCTTCCTCTCGAATGCATCTAAACTTTCTGATTCAACCATCGCTTCAGGCAGCAAGTTCCACAATCTCACTACCCTCTATGAAGTAGTTCTTCCTAAAATCTCTTTTTGATCTATCTTATATTGGATCCCTAATGAGAAGGTTGTAGATTCAAGACTCATATTGGAACCTAGCTGACCTTCCAATAGCTGCATTATTGGCGGTGTTGTTTTTTGTATGCTAAATCGATGCACCTCCTGTCTGATTATCTGGCACTATTTGAAGTGAGAAAGCAGTTTTATCCTGGTGTCCTGGTCAACAATTCCCCAGGTAAAATTGGTCATTCACTTCATGGTTGTTTGTTAGTTTGTTGTGTATAAATTGGCTGCAATATTCGTCTGCAAAATAGTCACTACATTTACAGTAAATCCTGTGAAGCAATTTGAAATGTCTTTTTAAAAGTCCTATAATCAAATACAAGGATTATTATGATGTTTTAATTTTAATAATGAGAAGAATTATTACATTCAGATTCTATCAACATAAGATACTTTGGCAATTTTGTTATTTTGACTGTTAGTGTTAATAAAAGTCACTGGTGAGTTAGTTGAATTTTCAGTCTGAAGCCTGGGATCTTCCCGCATTTTAATAGCACCACAGAAGCAAGTTTTAGTATCTTAACAACATTACCTTCAACAGAAGTGCTGCTCTGAAGTGCCATTTAGATTATGAGCTCAATTCCACAAGGTCATTATCAACTCAACAATTTGCACCAATGTCTAAATTAATCTAAATCCCAGTATTCAATATATTCCTGTCCCTACCCAGTTCAACATAACGCTGCCCTATTTGGACATTGCTCATCAAAACATTGGCCTTGATTAATTTACTAATATGGTTGGTGCTCAACAAGTTAAATAATGTTAACAAGTTAAGTAGACAAGAGGGTTACATCAGTATCCTTTCTTGTGTTTATGATCAGTATCATGCTAATAATTTTCCTTATATAAAGCTATTTAGTCCACCACAATCAACAGAGTAAATGTAAAAAGTGTGTGAAGATTCTGCAATATAACTAGAGAGGATGTAAAGGCCAGGATATATTTTTTGTGACAAAGAGGTGGGAGAGGTATAACATTACATTTCTGAATATTGTATGTTGCATCTTATTTCTTTGTATTTGAACTTACAGGCAAACCCAGTCCAGTCCCCAGGCTGCAATACATAAACCCCACCAACTAGCTTGAGAGTAATTTAAATTGCATTATTTCTCTAATAATGCAATACAGTAAGGCATTCATCAACAACTAATAATACATAGATTTTTCTTGTATTATTAGTAGTTTAGTAGACAGATTGTTCTTTAAATCACGTCTACCGGCACTTCTAAAGGTTTCACTACATCACTGCATCACAGGAGCTTTTGGCTGACAACCTTGTATAACTTGAATGACTGAGTTCATACAATTTCTCTCCTAATGTTACCAAACGTTGTTTGTATTCCAGATTCTCAAAGTTAGACTTAGGAACTTCTTGAAATCCATACATTGCTCCCCACCAAGCTGCAGCTATCGCACCTGTGGAATCATTATCACCACCGTGAAATACTCCTCTGTTGCACAGCTCTATCCAAGAATCACCAGAACCCAGTATTGCATCATAAGCTATTATTGTGGAGTCATGCCCACTGGAACCTCCCCAACCGCTATAGCTGACAGAAGAGTAGAATTTGTCACGCTCTACCACGCCGTACTTCTCAGGGAAAGTTGGTTTTGATTTTCCATCTGCAATACCACGTTCCTGAAGGTATTTTTTCCATTGGTTTTCAAAGTATGGCCTTAAAAAAGAAAAAGCAGATTAAATATAGCATATATAGAAGAGGGAGAGGGAGAAAAATCAGAGGGAGAGGGGGTGAGGCTGGGACGGGGGATATTGCTGTAAGTAACACCCACCTCCTCTTAGTAAATATATTTACTAATATATTGTAAATATTTATCTTTTTGGCATTTCAGGTAAACAGCCAGGAGTCCACATTGAATCAGCCAGATAAAGCAAAAATGCATCAATCAGCCGAAGATATAAATCAAACTCATTGAATAATGCTGCATCAAAGTGAAGAACAACAACAAAATTACATTTAGATAGTGCCTTTCACATCAGACAGACGCCCCAAGGCACTGGACAATCATTGTTTTGGACCCGAGCTGGGGGTTGGGAACGGTGAGGTTGGAGGGCGGAAGGAGGGTGACTGAAGGCACTGTCGAAGAGGAGGGTCTTGATATAGGTCTTGAATGAGGCAAGAGAGGGGGCAAAGCGGAGAGACTGCAGGATGGAGTTCCAGAGGGTGGAGGCAGAGTGGCAGAAGGCCCGGCCGCCAATAGTGGGGCGGGTGAAGGGGGACGTTCAGCAGATTGGAGCCCGCTGAGCAGAGGGAGCTGGCAAGTTAGTAGAAGGTCGCAGAGGTAGGGAGGAGCAAGGCCATGGAGAGCTTTGAAAGTGAGGACCAGAATCTTGAACTATATCCTCTGTGTGATGAGAAGCCAGTGGAGGATGGGGGTGATAAGGTCATGGAGCCTGGTGCGCAAGAGGTCATGGACTGCAGAGTCCTGGATGATCTGCAGCCTATAGAGGGAGAAGTTGGGGAGGCCAACAAGCAAGTATTTTGCATAATCAAGCTTCAATGTAATGAATACGTGTATGAGGGTCTCGGTGGCCTATGGTGTGAGACAGTCGCAGAGCCAAGCGATGTTGCAGAGATGGTGGGGGGGGGCGGCAGAGCGGTGGGGTAGAAGGGATAGTTGAGGGCAACCATGTTAATGCCTCCAGTTTTAGTACATTTTTCTTTTTGCTGCTGCAGCTCTCTGAAGCTGTGCAATTTAACATTAAACCTTTTTAAAAAAACTAAAATCTTATGGGAGCCTGTGTTTTTTTTCTTTTAAAGCCACAAACAAAAATATGTTGCCATTTGCAGGCTGAGGAAGGGGTGTGTGTGTGGTGGGGGTGGGGCAGAGAGGCTGAGAAGTGCGTGGGGTTATTAAATATTGAAGTAGGAAAGTATTGTGCAGAGCAGATTCACTAGGAAAATACTAGATATGAGAAAATGTACACATAGAGGTAGCTAAATTGGAGCTTTTTCCAAGTAGAGAATGTCAAGGTTCACAACACAGGTCTTTCAAAATTCTGAAGGGGGACAAAAATAGGCTAAAGCCATTTCCTTTCTTTGGGAAAGTCGGTGACAAGATAGCAAAGTCTCTGATTGTTACCAGAAATATTAGAGGATAGATTAGAAAGTTTTTTTCACTCAGAGGATTGATTGTTAGGTTTTCAAACCAAAAGTTGACACTATCAATGAAATAACTAAAAAAATGGAACTGGATAAATTCCTAGGATGAAAAATATTAAAGAATGTCAATCAATAATAAATGGGGGCAACTTTTTTTCTCTCTCTTTTTGCACTCATTTCTGTCTCCTTTGGCGTATTTCTGTATTGGAAACTGTGCACTTCTCAGGAAATGTATTGTAGTGCTAAAGAACAAAGATATTGTACTACCAGGCAGCAGTGCCACAGATATGATGCGTAAAAATGTGTTGAAAATTTCTTCATAGAAATGAAGCTTTACCCCCACCTACCATGCAGCCAGGTTATCCTCCACATGTTTTCCAGCTGTTTTGACGTAGCTCTTTGCTTTGTCTAATGTATCCAATAAGCCCTTGCCCCAGCTCTCTGTAGGTTTGCCACTCACAGCATATGCAGTGAATAATGCTGCAGCCAAAGATCCTAAATAACCAGTTGGATGGTGGTGAGTCATTCGGCCGCTTTCAACAGCTATTGCAATGAGTGTATCCAATTCTGTGTCATGAGGGAATCGCAGTCCAATGCACATGGCTCGCATGGCACCGCCACATCCACCACCTTTAGGATCGAATGGAATTGTCCACCCACCATCTACTTTCGGCTGCAGTTGGCGAGCAGACTTAATACAAGTTAAACCTGGTAAGAAAAAATTAGATGCATTATTCGTGCAACAATGAAAAATATTCACCATTGATTAGATGTCAACAATGACCTTTGACAAACATTTGATCAACAATACGTGCTGCACTGCGTTCAGATTTCGACTAATATTCAAACGCAAAGTCTGCTTCCCCCCAGCAAAACAAAAGTAACCTAAAATACCAGATCCTGATCCTACAGTATTCCCAGAATCTCGAATTCTCCACTCTTCTTGCAGATCTGCACAAGTATTCTGCAGTTTCAATTTGTTACTGTAATGTGATTCTTTGGTGCACTTACCTGGTGGCAACATTTTTGACATATTTCAGCAAATATTTTCAGGAATCAAAAATTGGCTTATGAAAAAGTAAATTCAAAATTCTGAAAACTTCTGTTAAGTCTCCTCTTCACCTTCTCTGCTCCAAGGAGAATAATCCCAGCTTCTGTAGCCTCTCCTGATAACTGAAGTCCCTCATTCCTGGTACCATCCCGGTAAATCTCCTTTGTACCCTCTCCAATGCCTTGCCATCCTTCCTAAAGTGCGGGCCCAGAACTCAACACAGTCTCTCGCTGAGGCTTTAACCAGTGTTTTATAAATGTTTATCATAACTTCCTAACTTTTCTATTCTATGCCCCTATTTAAAAAGGCTCGTATCCTATATGCTTTTTTAACAGCTTTAACCTGTCCTGCCACCTTCAAAGATTTACTTATATGAACCCCCAGGTCTCTCTGTTCCTTCACCTCCTTTAAGATTGTACCATCAGCTTATATTGCTTCTCCTCATTCCTCCAACCAAAATGCATCACCGCATTTCTCCACATTAAACTTCATCTGCCACGTGTCTGCCCATTTTACCAGTCTGCTACTATCCTCCTCACTGTTTACTACTTTTCCTAGCTTAGTATCATTTATATAGATCAAAAACAGCAGTGGTCCCAATACTGACCCCTGGGGGACACCACTGCAGACTTCCCTCCAGTCAGAAAAACAACCGTTCACCACCACTCTCTGCTTTCTGTGTCCCGGCCAGTTCTGTATCCGCTGCCACTGTCCCTTTAATACCACAGGCTTCTATTTTGCTTATAAGTCTCTTATGTGGCACTTTATCAAATACCTTTTGAAAATCCATATAAACTACATCAACTGCACCACCTTCATCCACCCTTTCCATTACTTCATCAAAAAATATCAGGTTTGTTAAGACATGATTTGCTTTAACAAATCTGTGTTGGCTGCCCTTTATTAACCCATATTTTCTAAGTGAAAATTTATTTTGTCCTCAATTTATAGACTCTAGAAGTTTCCTCAATACTGACGTTAGGCTGACTGGCCTCTGCTCAAATGAGGCTCTTTCAAGTCTTCTCCTTTATATAGGACTCAAACAAAATAATAATAATAATAATCCTTGCATTTGATATAGCGCTGTTCATGTCAGGAGGACGTCCCAAAGCGCTTCACAGAACACACTGTAAAGTGAATTGACTGTATACTTGTGGGCGAACGCGGCAGCCAATTGCGCACAGCAATGTCCCACAAACAGTCGTAGATTGAAAATGACCAATTTATTATTGTTTTTGGTTTTGGAGGGATTATTATTAGGCTCTGTGTGGAGTAAGGAAACTTGCCCAAGGTTTCTCCCTGCCTGGAATTGAACTCAGGTCTCTCACTTGCAAAGCGAGTGCTCTAACCACTGAGCTACAGGACTCCACAAAGCACCCAGTTTCAACCTGTCAGCAGGTTTGTTAATCCCCAACATCTGGCCTATGATTCAACTGCTAATTGAATTGTTTGCCTGCTTACGTATAAAGTTGCCTCTCCCTCAAGAAAGATTTTCCACTTTTCATGCTGAATGAAAGAGTTTTCTCTTGCCCTCTGGTATCCCCGTTGCCCTCTGGTATCTCTCCTGCTGAAGAATTCCCACTCCTTGACAGAATTCTCACTCTGTTCCACCTCACTCAGTTCTCTGCTCACGCTGCTGGCCTCTCTGCTCTGTGAAAGGCACTATATAAGTGTAATTTTGTTATTGTTGTAGTGGTTAGCTTGCTTGCAAGGTGAACATAAGGACCTGAATTTGATTTCCACGGGAGAATGGGTGAGGAGAATTCCAGTGCCACCCAGCACAAGAGTTTGCTTCGGGTCCCAGCACAGAGGTATGGAAAAATTTATTTAATGAGTTATATATGTATATATATATATATAGTGGAATGGGTTACATGTACTGCAGGCTGTGTCCATCCAGACAGTAGGTGTGTATTCCATTCCAGATATACGCATTTCCATAGGTGGCATTCATAAGTGGAACTCTTGTCTGGTTTTGATCCTATTAATCAGGATGATGGATGAATATGTGCTGTATTTCTGCCGTGTCTTTTGAGTCTGGAACAATAAACAAATTATTTAAAAGCAATGGAGAGGGTGATTTCACTCCACCTTACTAAGCCAGTTCATCACCTCCTTTGATCCTCAACTATCCTCTCTACCCCACATCCGTGCCATGACCCGCTCTGCCTTCCCCCACTTCCGCAACATCTCCCAGATCCGCCACTGTTTCACACCACAAGCGGGCTTTCTACCACTCTGCCCCCACCCTCTGAACTCCATCTCGCAGGCCCTCCACCTCACCCCCTCCCTAGCCTCCTTCAAGATCCGTCTCAAGACCCTCCACTTCGACTGTGCCTTTGGTCACCCTCCACCTTCCCTGATCCCCAGCTCAGGTCTGAAACATTGATTGTCCAGCGCCTTTACACTATAGGATCTCATGATCTCTGATCTTCTACTTCTCTCCTTAGCAAACTCAGACCTACTCCATGTCCCCTTCTCCTCCTTGCCACTGGGAGTGGCCAAGACTTCAGCTCCTACTCCCACACCTCTGGCACTCCCTCACTCTAACCCTCCACATCTTTAAATGCACCTTAAAAACACTCACCATTTTGACCTACAGTCACTTTCCCTTTCCCTAAGGGTGTGAACCAGTCACTGTGAAGCACTCAGACGCATTACCCAAGATGAAGGGAGCAGCAAAAACGAGCTGTTATTGCGCAAATCAGCTTCTGCGTTCACCCACAAAACACTTCACTGCACCGACAACAAAGTTTGGGGACGACAAGTTTGCGGGGAGAGCGCAGGGGAGTGGGATTGCTTTGGGGGAGTGGGATTGCTTTGGGGGAGCCGGGTTGTTTTGGGGGAGCCGGATTGCTTTGGGGGAGAGGGATTGCTTTGGGGGAGCCGGGTTGCTTTGGGGGAGAGGGATTGCTTTGGGGGAGTGGGATTGCTTTGGGGGAGTGGGATTGCTTTGGGGGAGTGGGATTGCTTTGGGGGAGTGGGATTGCTTTGGGGGAGCGGGATTGCTTTGGGGGAGCCGGATTGCTTTGGGGGAGCGGGATTGCTTTGGGGGAGCCGGATTGCTTTGGGGGAGTGGGATTGCTTTGGGGGAGTGGGATTGCTTTGGGGGAGTGGGATTGCTTTGGGGGAGTGGGATTGCTTTGGGGGAGTGGGATTGCTTTGCGGGAGTGGGATTGCTTTGCGGGAGTGGGATTGCTTTGCGGGAGTGGGATTGCTTTGCGGGAGTGGGATTGCTTTGGGGAGTGGGATTGCTTTGGGGGAGTGGGATTGCTTTGGGGGAGTGGGATTGCTTTGGGGGAGTGGGATTGCTTTGGGGGATCTCTTTTCAAAGTGCGGCACAGACCGGATGGGGCCGAGTGGCTCCCCTTCTCTATGGTATAATTCTATGATTCACAGTAATAACTCAGTGAGAAGGGCTTTGAGGCATTTGGGTCAACGTGACAACAACAACAACAACAACAAGAAGTGACATGTGCGGAGCGCCGCTTCACGTCAGGAGGACGTCCCGGAGGCACTAAACCTCAAACCCGAGGCTGGTTTCCTGAAGCGCTGACGCCGGTGCGAGAGCCGCGACACTTTAAATGCATTCACTATTCTTCCCGTTTCCGACTTCAGCCCAGAAAGGCCGAGCAGCGAGACCCCGGCACCCGGGACGGGCTGTTAATGAAAGCCGGTGACGGGCTCTGCCCGGGGGGGAGGGGGAGGGGGGGGGCGGCCTCCGGTGACGGTTGGGGAGCAGCGAGCGCGAGAGGAGGGGGCGCGCGCGCGAGCAGAGCGGCGGCGCGGGAGCAGCGCGGGAGGGCGCGGCGGCGGTACCTGGGGCTCGACCGGTCATGTCCTTCATGCAGTTCTTGTATTTCTGCGCCATTTTGCGATAGAGAGGGCTCAGGCCGTCCTCCCGGCGCCAGTCCGCCAGCGCCTCGGCCGTGGCCAAGTGCATCACCGTGTCGTCGCTCACCATCCAGCCCGAGGCGTCGAGCTTCTCCAGGCCCCCGAGCTGCTGCAGCTCCCGGTGGATGGCCGGGCCGTCCCGACTGAACTCCCAGCTGCCGTTCTTGAAGCCCAGCAGGTCGCCGGCCCCGCTCAGCACCATGGCGGCCACGTAGCGCTCGATCAAGGCAGGAACCAGGGAGCCCCCCATCGCGGCCAACATGGCGAGGGCCGCGCGCTCGCGCAGTGACGCGGCCGCCGAACAGCGCGTGACACTGTGCGCAATGCTTAGTTTGCGCACAAACACACACACCCCCCCCCCCCCCCCTCCTCCCGGGGAGACGCGCTGTGAGACGTGGTGATGGGTTTCCACGTGTTTCAGACACCCGATGCCCATCCCATCCCACATCCTCATCCCTCATCCCATCCCACATCCTCATCCCACATCCCATATCCTCATCCCATCCCACATCCTCATCCCATTCCCATCCCATCCTCGTCCCATCCCCAATCCCATCCCAATTCCACATCCCATCCTCATCCGCATCCCATAACCTCATCCCATCCCGTATCCCCATCCTCATCCCACATCCTCATCCCATTCCCATCCCACATCCTCATCCCATTCTCATCCCATCCCCGATCCCATCCCATCCCTCATCCCATCCCACATCCCATCCTCATCCCACATCCCATCCTCATCTCATCCCACATCCCATCTTCAACCCCATCCCATCCCGATCCCATCCAACACAAAAGCACCCAAGGTGTCCAGCTCAGTTGGCAGCTCTCGCCTCGGAGTCAGAAGGTTTGTGGGTTCAAACCCGGGTCACATTGGGTCTTTGAGCTCATAGTTAAGGTCCACATTGGGAGACCACTGCACTGACCAGGGGCTTCTGTCCTTCTGCAGAGGAGGCGTTAAACAGAGGTCTCCTTCCCTCATCACGTGGATATTAAAGATCCCATGGCAATATTGGAAAAGAAAAGCGAATTTCTTCAGATCAAAAAAAATGATTATTCACTTAATTTGCTATTTGTGGGACCTTACTGTACAAATTGGCTGCCATATCAAATACAAGGATTATTATTATATTCACCTCAAATGCACAATAAATAAGTTCACTTTACAGGAAACTTTGAAGTTCTTCCAGATGTTTTCAGTGGGATAAGGATGCAAATGAAATGATTATTTTATAGTAGTTTTCTCTCGGATTAGTCTTAACAATTTTCATTATACATTGTTTTGTACACTAATGGGCGAATAAAGGATTTGTATAAATATACAGTTGAGGATCTTAACTGTATATTTGGATTATTTCTATTCTCTCTCCTGTGGCCTTTTTACTGAGTCACGAGTTATGTGATTAAATAAACCTATGATGTGTTGCCATCAGCAGTGCCCTGGAATACTGGGGACTGGCCTCGCTCAGGAACCAGACTACTGAGACTGCCACAGAGGGCTAAATCAATACCGACAATCCATTGCCATGTATGACACCTTGGAACCAGTTCAGCTCCAAGGAGACCCCGCTCCCCCTCCCCCCCACCCCGCCCCCGGGGGTAAGTCAAGTAATGAATATTACTGTGGAGCTCTGCCAATCTTACTTCCACACAACGTAAAGAAGCAACCTACAATGCTTGCTTCATTGTTAACATACAGCCCACACCTCATACTTAAGTCCAGCACAAAGACGTTTTGTTATTTCTGCATCTTTTCCTCTTCGTTTTGCTTCTCCTTTGCTTCATAGTGGGAATAGAGCCTATTAAAAATATGGTTAACTGTAATGTTCGGGACCCTTATAAATATATCTATCTAACATTTCTGCTTTCTCAATCTAATTTAAAATCTTATATTTGTTTATAAGGTCTCCTCTGAGACACCTCACCCACTGCTCCAGGTTCCTCAAATAATAATTTAAACTCTTTTCAAGCTGTATTTTTTCCAACATTAGTACTTACAAAAGTTGGTTTTAAAAAAAAGGCAAGAATCTTGTTCTTATCATTATCCGCGTTCCCAAGAAAGATGTTTTGTGCCACACTTACAATAATAATAATAATAATTCTCGCAATTTTTGATATAGTGCCCTTTACCATCATTGAGAAGTCTCAAAGCGCTTCACAGGATATACAGTAAAGTGGATTCACTATGTAATTTGTGGCAAAATTTACATTCTTTGCACTTGGTCTCCTAATGGTGCCCATAACTAGACAAAGCTCCCGCTGCTGCCTCTGGATGTTATTGTAGTAGACAGCCTCCCCCACTCCCTGTTTGATAGTAGACGAGTTAATGTCTGATTGGACGTCAAATATGATTCTCTGGCAGCTGACAACAGGCAACTTCTTGATTAAAACAAAATACAAGAACTAAGATATCCAAGATCCAATGAAAATCTTTCTGCTCATTTCATCTGTCCAGAATATCCAGCCTACAGCATTGTAGTAGCAAACTAAGTATGCATATGGGTAATTTTAAAAAGAGTTGTCCAAATATTTACAATAAGATAAAATTACCCAGTCCAGTGATCTCTATTAGAACGTGCATGGATACAGATGTTAGGGGAGAGCAAGAATTGGTTTGGCTTTGATACCTACAGCTGCACTTTGCCCCAGTTCACTCTAAATGCCTCCACCTTGCACCCTCCTTTTCTGCTTTCAAACCCATCTCTTCAAGTACACAAAATATAGTCAATTCACTTTATTCTGTGAAGCTCTTTGAGATGTCTCAAATACATGATAAGCCAGTCAGGAACCTCGGCGTTTTGTTCGACCCTGAGCTGTCCTTTCTCCCTCACATCCGCACCACAACTGGCACCGCCTTCCATCACCTCCGGAACATCGCCAGACTACGGCACTACCTCACCCCTCACGCTGCTGAAACCCTGGTTCACGCCTTTGTCACCTCAAGGCTGGACTATGGGAACTCTCTCCTCGCCGGCCTTCCCGCCACCTCCCTCCACAAGCTGCAGGTCATTCAGAACTCTGCAGCTCGTGTACTGTCCCGCACCAGGCTTCACGACCACATCACTCCCACCCTCGCTCGCCTCCACTGGCTCCCCATCCCCAGAGGATTGATTTCAAGATCCTCATCCTCACCTACAAGGCCATTCACGGCCTTGCTCCCTCCTACCTCTCCAACCTACTATCCCCCTACCTACCTGCCCGTACCCTCCGTTCCTCTGGCTCCGGTCTGCTCTACGTCCCCCGCCCCAACCGCCCTACCATCGGTGGTCGGGCCTTCAGCCTCTCAGCCCCCAGGCTCTGGAACTCCATCCCCCAGTGCCTTCGACGCCTCCTCCCTTTCCTCCTTCAAGGCCGGTCTCAAAACCTTTCTCTTTGACCATGCCTTCAGCTCCTCTCTCGACTCTCTACCCCCTCCTCGCTCCCTCCCTTCCCTCCCCTCACCTGACCATTTCCCCCCTGCTCACCCTGACCATTTCCCCCTGCTCGGATCATGACCCAACTGTGCAGCGCCTTGGGACGTCCTCCTGACGTGAAAGGCGCTTTATAAATGGAATCTTGTTGTTGTTGTTGTTGTATCAAATGCAAAGATTATTATTATTACCACCTTTGGTCACCTCCCTCCTAACACCCTATCTCCCTCCTGCTTAATCTCCCAATCTGTTTATACAAAGTGCTGTGAAACATTTTCCAATATGAAAGATGCTTTATAAGAGCAAGTTCTTGTTGTGGTGCAGTTAACTCCAAAGAAACAGTACAACTACAATTTTACATTTACATAGTACCTGTAACCAGGGGACACAAATATAAGATAGCAACTAGTTCTATAAACTAGGGGATCAAAAAGAGAATTTAGGAGGAGCTACATCTAGCAGAGGGTAGTGAGATTGTGGAATTTGCTGCCTGAAGCGGTGGTTGAATCAGATAGCATAGATGTATTCAAGAGGAAGCTAGACTTCCACATGAGTGAAAAGGAGTTAGATGGGTATGGGAGGGAGTAAAGGAATGGATGCAAAGTTGTGTGGAGTATAACCACCACCATGGGCTGGTTCGGCAGAGTGGCCTGTTTTCATGCTGTACAGTCTTTGTAAATCTTTGTAAATGTCTTAAAAGTACTTTTTATATTATACTACATAGATTTGTTAATGTGTACAG